CCAGGCGATCTCCTACCCATCCGGTCTAAGGAACCACCCACTAACAGCCTCTGTCTTGTCTGGATTAAGCTTCAGTTTGTTGGCTGTCATCCAGTCCATTATTGAGGCAAGACACTCATCCAGCACTTCCACTGCCTCACCTGCAGACATAAAGGAGAAATAGAGCTGAGTGTTATCAGCATACTGCCGACAACATACTCCAAACCCCCAGATAACCCCACCCAGCAGTTTCATGTAGATGTTAAACAACATAGGGAATAGGATTGAGTCCTGCGGAACCCCACATTGAAGGTTCCACAGGGCTGAAAAGCATTCCCCAAGCAACACCTTCTGGGAACAACCATCCAAGTAGGACCAGAAGCACTGCAAAGTGGTGCCACCCACCCCTGGCTTGGACAGTTGCTCTAGGAGACTATGGTTGATGGTCTCTAAAGATGCTGAGAGGTGGCAGATGAAAGTGATGGACTACATGGAACTGGCTGAGATGACCGGCAGAATTCGAGACCAGGGAGAAGGGTCGATGGAAGAAGATTGGAAAAAATTCAAAATATATCTTCAAAAGTATTGCAATATAAAAGAATGTTAGAAGGAGGTTGGAAAAAGAATATTAGGTCGTTCTGGTAGATTTGATATAATGGAATAAGCAAAAATGAGTTGCTTATGATGAAATAGAGGAGGTTTAATTACATTATTTTAATTTTAAAATACGTAAATGAAAATAAGGTTAGAAGGATTTGCTGGAAACACGATCTGAACTAGAATACAAAATTGGGAGGTGAGAGGAGGTCATGGAAATAAGTAAAGGGAAAAGGTCTTGTAAAGGTTTAATCTGCTTTTGTTTTATTTTAATTTAATTGTATTTTTATATTTTTTGTTAAGTTTTCTTTTTTTATTCTATCTTATTGTTCTTTTTACTTGTTTATCTTTTGCTCTGTTGTGGCTAAAGTTTTCTTTGTATTTTATATGGTTTTTCTTTTTCTTTTTTGTAATTTTAAATTTGGAATAAATATCATTTATAAAAAAAAAATAAAGCTGCTGAGAGGTGGAGGAGAATTAACAGGGACATGTTTCCCTTGTCTCTCTTTTCTCGTCTCTCATTTCATATGCCTTAAGAGGTGTGGAGGGGAAGTAAAATTCTCATCATCACCCCATTGGCTCTTACACTCCCTCCCCTTTTTTGTTTTTACCATGAAGTAGAAATTTATGTTGTTGTACTGTTGCTGGTTTTACACACACATGCACACACACACACACTTGACTTAAAAGATGCTGATCAACTTTTGTCCTCCAGCTCATTGTATGTTAGTTGTGAGGAAGTCCCAGTTGCAAAGGAGATGCCACTGGCAGTTTTTATCGATACCAATAAACTATAGGTTTACTATAAACCTCAAAGGTTGCACTTAATAAGATGAATTTTGCACTGAAGTAACGATATACTCCTGTGCATGATGTAATTCTTAAACCTTTCTATATATTAAGACTATATATCTCAGTATGGATTATTTGGTAGTGAAATATTAATAGAGCACTTTACCTCTATTGATATCCCCACCTGATTCCTTATGAGCTGCACTTCCATCTTGCAATGTCTCCAGATTACATTGGTTCTATAAACCTCCTTACTGCAAAATGGCAATATGAACCCCTGCTTCCAGGCTAACAATAATTACAGCGCTGGCAAATCTGTCCTGCCGTTTACACTGTGAGTATAGTTCTTTCCCCCTTCATATTTTGGAAACGCATCTTGCGAGTAGGGTAAAGCCTTCAATAATGCAATCAATTTATAGATAGATTAGCAAGGTATGTTTCCCATTCACAAAGCAGTAGCCTTATCAGATACCTTATCAAAATAGACTCTGCTTATGTTCTCAGGCTGTCGGTTGTATGAAACATATCTTACCACACTGTGGGCTCCATAAAGCCAGGGATCAAGTCATTAAACCCTTATTTACCTGGAAATTCTGAAACCTCCTATCTCAAGTATCTTCTTGAAGATAAGACAAATGATATTGCCTTGGCCATGACAAACATTCTCTCAGAGGTAATAAGAATTAGAAATCAACACGCGCTGGATAAAGCAGGGGTTAGCAACCTTTTGCAGCTGTGGGCCGGTCCACCATCCCTCAGACCATGTGGTGGGCCAGACTACAGACTATATATATATATATATATATATATATATATATATATGGGAAATGAACAAATTCCTATGCCCCACAAATAACCCAGAGATGCATTTTAAATAAAAGGACACATTCTACTCATGTAAAAACATGCTGAATCCCGGACCGTCCGTGGGCCGGATTGAGAAGGTGATTGGGCCGCATCTGGCCCATGGGCCTTAGGTTGCCTACCCCTGGGATAAAGCATAGTGATTAACTTGGATTGTTTTCCCTGTATTCCTGCTGTAGTTTGCTTTTGAAACTGTTTTTTGTGGATCTTTGGACCGTAATAAAGAATGTGTGTGTAGCAGCACAGATCCCTGCTTTTTTCCTGCAATTTTCTGGGTTAAGGGGGTTGCAAACAGAATTCTTCTGGAATCAAATAACCTAGAAATGAGTGCTGAGCAGGCACTATGTTCCATTAGTTTTCTTGAAGTGGCTTTTATGTCATGTGAAAGCTCGAGTATAATGTGGAAATTAACAGTCAGGGAAATGTCAGAGAAATGGTGCCTTGATCTTTGCAGACTATTCTGTGCTAAAGGAGCTGCGACAGAAGCAGCAGGTGTAAACCACTAGTTTGGAGCACATTTAATCGTGAATGTTTGGTATTTCTCGAAGCCCTTTGTTAATATTGCGCAACCGATGATAGCATGGGAAGCAAGACTTCGCATGCTCATTGAAAATATAATGATGTCCCCCTGGAAAACAGTTTGTAAAGTGGTACCTCGGGTTAAGTACTTAATTCGTTCCGGAGGTCCATTCTTAACCTGAAACTGTTCTTAACCTGAAGCACCACTTTAGCTAATGGGGCCTCCTGCTGCCGCTGCGCCGCCAGAGCACGATTTCTGTTCTTATCCTGAAGCAAAGTTCTTAACCTGAGGCACTATTTCTGGGTTAGCGGAGTCTGTAACCTAAAGTGTATGTAACCTGAAGCGTATGTAACCCGAGGTACCACTGTACATGGGCAACCAGACTGAAGAGCACATAGTTGGTCTTTCTATTTTGCAAATGTCAGTCTCGAACACAAACTAGCAAGCTTCATACATGGAGGAAAAATATAAGAACATCACACTTAGAACACAGTTCAGAAAATCAAAGCACTCTCTCACACATGTTCATGTTAACGCATAGTCTTCATGGATATGCTTATCTGGGTAAAGGTAAGGTAAAGGACCCCTGGATGGTTAAGTCCCGTCAAAGGTGACTATGGGGTTGTGGCACTCATCTCACTTTCAGCCCAAGAGAGCTGGCATTTGTCCACAGACAGCTTTCCGGGTCATGTGGCCAGCATGACTAAACTGTTTCTGGCACAACAGGACAACATGATGGAAGCCAGAGCACATGGAAATGTTGTTTACCTTCCCTCCACAGTGTTACCTATTTATCTACTTGCACTGGTGTGCTTTTGAACTGCTAGGTTGGCAGGAGCTGGGACAGAGCAATGGGAGCTCACCTCATCATGGGGATTCGAAGCGCCGACCTTCCAATTGGCAAGCCCAAGAGGCTCAGTGGTTTAGACCACAGCACCACCCATGTCTTATCTGGGGTAGGTGATTTGACTGTCCTCTGGGGGGTTTTCTACCACAATTATGACATCTCTACCTCCACATTGTTATTCCAACCCACGTTCTTTTGGCAAATGTATTGAGTCTTAAACATCACCCCTCCCCTTTATCCCTGGGGAACAATTTGTTCCAAACTGGATGTTCTCAGCTCCTGTCAGTTTACAAGTTGCTCTGCCACCATTTCTTTAAGCGCCAATGATATGGTTCCATCCTGACTCGAGTGAAGCCTGTCCCTTTTGTACAGGCCTGACTTGTTCCAAAACATTTCCACATTTCCCAGTTCCTAACAATTCAGTTCCCCTGCTCCCATTTTATTTTTGTGGTTAAACAAAAGAGCTGCTCACATGTTGATAAAAGCGGTGTGGGTGCCAGCACAAAATGGCCAAATAAATGTGTCCTTGAATTTTGCTGTCTGAACGCCAAAGATGTGACACCAGGAATTCAAAGGCAATGAGGCCACCTTTTCTATCTTCTCTCGTAAACAGCAGAGAAAACTTGGCTCTTTGCCTTTCGAGCCCTAATACAATACCAAAGTCTAATGTGTACGTGCTAAATAATTCAGTAAACATATTAGTGTTGAAGGGAGCTGCTTTTCCCTCTTCTCTTTTTTGCAAACGGACTTGCGTTCTCTTTGTAATGCTTTTGGCACACCATCTGCTCTCGCGGCGCAAACCCAGATGAATGCGCGAACACTTAACGGCATGCCATGAACATGCCTCCTTCCCATTCAGTTGAAAAACATCACAGTTGGGACATTTAATAGCAGGCCATCTACTGTGTTTGCACATCCTTAAATAGAAATATTAGAGCAACCAAAATTTAATTTCTGCGCCCGTCATTTGTTACTATAATTACTGTGGAATACAATTAGGTGCTTTCGGATCTTTCAGTGTTAATTAAAAAGCTAATAATTTGAAATGCTATAAATATTGGTGAAGGGGGCTAATGTAGCACACAATTAATCCTTTGTCACTTACTTTTAATTGGTAGACTGCCTTTCACTCTTGACTCCATGGCAAGAGCATTGGTTGCTTCGCTTCCTGTTGCTGCTTTTGGAAGGAGTTTCCATCTCTGCTCAAGCTATATACTCCTCATTGGTTTATCTGAAGTGAATCAAACTTACGGAAGGGCTGTAGCTTAGTGGTGGAGTTCATAGCTCACATGCAGAAGGAGCCAAGTGCAGTTTTAGAATCCTGTAATCATAGAATTGTAGAGTTGAAAGGGACCCTGAGAATCATCTAGTCCAACCCCTTGCAATGCAGGGATATGCAGCTGTCCCATATGGGGATTGAACCTGCAACCTTGGTATTATTAGCACTACGCTCTAACCAGCTGAGCTAGCCAGGCTCAGCATCTTCTGGTAGGGTTGGGAAATAAACCACTGAGCCTTGGGCTTGCCGATCAGAAGGTCGGCGGTTCGAATCCCCGTGACGGGGTGAGCTCCCGTTGCTCACTCCCTGCTCCTGCCAACCTAGCAGTTCGATAGCATGTCAAAGTGCAAGTAGATAAATAGATACCGCTCCAGCGGGAAGGTAAATAGCATTTCTGTGCACTGCTCTGGTTTCACCAGAAGCGGGTTAGTCATGCCGTCCACATGACCCAGAAAAAACTTTCTGTGGACAAACGCTGGCTCCCTCGGCCAGTAAAGCGAGATGAGCGCCGCAATCCCAGAGTTGTTCAAGAATGGACTTAATGGTCAGGGGTCCTTTACCTTTTTAAAACCCTGGAGAACCAGCGTCAGTCTCCGTAGGTCAGATATAACAGCCGGGCTCTCCCAAAGTTGTTGGGCATTGCCATTCAAATGAGGTGTGTGTGCCATGGCATGGGATCGCTTATGCTCAACTTTGGAGTGATCTTAACCCTGCAGTTACTGCAGCTTCAGTTGAAGTACCCAATGCTGGAATAGAGGCTGTTTTGTGGGGTCACTTTCACCTTACACAGTCAGCTGATGTCAGGAATCATTTGTGCCAATTTTATTTTCAAACGCTGCTGCTTTGATGCTGTTTTGCAGTGCTGTGCACATGTATGCAAACTGCATCTGTTGCTGTTTTAAAAAGGAAACCAAGACCTGAGTTTTGTTTTGTGTCCGTTGTTTTTATTACTGCTTTAGGTCTTGCAGTGGCAGCAGAGCACATAAATGCTTGAAATTGGGGAGGTGGGGGGAGGTGACTTAGAAACCAGAAGAACTGTTTTTGCACAAATGACCTCAAACTCTCCAGTATCCTTCCTTCAATGTCTTAGAGGGCATTCAGAAACATTCCAATAATCATACCATACTATAGACATACTATTTATACTTCACTTTTCAGACGAGATACCAGCTTAGATGCTGATAAATCAAGGGACTTTTTATATAAGGCAACAGGGATCTGGATATGATCCAGGAAATGTACGCAATCAAGGTTCAACTATAACATTTATTGCATTTGTCGTTTAAACATCACTTAACGGATCAGCACAAATTGGTCCAAGCAAATAAATCAATGCCTCTATGGGAATTGTGAAATTACAGGGTGTTTTCCAAAAGAAAGCACAGAACAGCTTCCTTATATGCCATTTCAAATCAGAGCAGCTTTACCTTTAAGGAAAACCATCAATTTCTCTTGGTGTTTGAGCTGGGGGGGGGGGGCAGGGAGAGAGTTGTTTGATGAGCCTCCTAAAAGATGCTCCAAGGAAACATCCGTTTCCAGCGTCCCTTCAAATTATTTAAAGTTTGTCGAGCTCAGATTGTTGTTTGAAGGCTACATTGTGAGTAATGGGTTTCTGCTGCTATTTACACATTGGGGTAAAGGCAAAACAGCCATTAGGCTCTGCGTTTTATTGCACTGCATTATGTATGAGATGGTTTTGCAAGCAGGTACACACAAGGGGCGGGGAGAAGAAACACAGGAAAGCAATTTCTTTTATTGTCCAATATACAAGAGTTAGGAATAATCTAGGGAACATTCAAATGCCCCTGTTTGTGGGCCCTCCGAGCTGCCGTGATGAAATGAGTTATTTACTACACTGTTATGAGAACGTACATTAACACTACAGTGCAGTCACCAATCTTTCCACAGGGCTAGTTTATAACCACTCTGTTTATAATGCGGAGTAACCAAGCTGCTTCCCTTAGTAAATTATGACCTTTATTCAAGTGCAGGAAACACTAAGAACCTCTCAACTCCTGTTCATAAGGATCATGAGGAGGGAACATCATGCGCTTTGGAAATAGATTCCCCAGCCAAATCCACAAATCCTGGTGTGTGCTGCAGCAGAACCCCTTATATTAGTGTGTTGCAGAGAACTACTTATAGGCTTCCTATAGTTATCTGGTTAGCCATTGTGAGAAAGCTTTACTCTATGGGCCAGCAGGGCTCTTATGTTCTTAATAGAGTGTTGGTCTTCAGCTTGGAAGGTCTTGATACAGATCCCTGCTCAGGGTCAATAGGCTAGTTGTTAAGTATAATTGGTTTAATTCATACTGAAATGAAGATTTAACGGAAGATTCCACTGAAGCTAAAGAACAGCACGGAGAGCTCTCTCTGAGTTTTATCTGTTTGATAATTAACAGATGGTTATTCTCTAGCAGCTAACATGTGAGTGTTTAACCTTAGATCATGTGAGAAGTAATGAATTGCAAATTCGCCATCCTGGAAAGGTGGTGGCTAGTTTGTTCCCAAACTCCCTGGAAGGAGGATGTAAATGAAGCTCTCCAGGAAAACAGATCCAATCTAAAGGGGTTGGGATGGAGCCAATGGAGAGAGAGAGAGAGAGCGCTATGTTTGTCATTATAAGTTTATTTTCTTTCTCAGATACTGAGCCTTGCTGGACAGCACAAGGCACTGCATGGATATTTTGGATGTATCGTTGATGCTTTTGTTCTGTTTTTTGAAGAAAGTTCTGAAAGTAAACTTTGAATAATATCTAATGGGTCTGGACAATGCTTCATTTCCAATTTTTAAGCCTCCAGCTGCTTTGAACTCAGGAGGACTAGAGGTGGATGCATAAGTGGAATCTTCTCCCCCCTCTGCTGATCAGCGCCCCACACATGGCCCCAAATTTCTAAACGCATGCCTGAGAGAGAACAATTTCACCCTCAGGAAGCTGGCACTCCTTCCTCTAGATGCCAAGTGCTGTAGGTGGCGGGGCCTTTGCCGTGTGCCAAGCAGAGACATGGTTCCTTCCTCTGTGTGCCAGGTGCTGGAGAAGGAGGAAACGTCACCCCATGCCTCACAGGGCCAGGGTCAGCAGCTCTACGGTACCCTGCCATGCAGTGCCCCGGCTGATGCACTCTGCCTGGAGCAGTGCCACCCTCTTGGCCTCGACAGGAAGAGGCAGGAGGTGTGCACAGTGACGCCAATTGTCTCAGTGGCTGGCAACTGCCTTCTTCCTCCCTGCCTTCTTTTATAATATACCACCATATTGCGAAGTTTAGCCAGCGGTATATTACAATGTTGGAAAAGAGATATCGCCCAGCTCTGCCATCCATGGGCCTGTGACCTTCAGAAGAGATTGTTGCCCTCAGATGAGAAATGTTCCTCACCCCCTGCTGTAGGTTAATAGGGGTTTGGGGGGGGTTGCTTTATTTTTTGAACCACCCAGAGGACTCTGGTTAGGAAGTGTCTATATACGCCGGTGGCGCTATGGTCTAAACCACTGAGCCTCTTGGGCTTGCCACTCAGAAGGTAGGTGGTTCAAATCCCCCTGACAGGGTGAGCTTCCATTGCTCTGTCCCAGTTCCTGCCAACCTAGCAGTTCAAAAACACTCCAGTGCAAGTAGATAAATAGGTACCACTGCAGTGGGAAGATAAACGGCGTTTCCATGCGCTCTGGTTTCCGTCACGGTGTTCCGTTGCACCAGAAGCAGTTAAGTCATGCTGACCACATGACCTGGAAAGCATTCTGTGGGAAAACGCTGGCTCCCTCGGTCTGAAAAGCAAGATGAGCGCTGCACCCCATAGTCGTCTTTGACTGGACTTAACCGTCCAGGGGTCCTTTACCTATACAAACCCAGGAACTAAATAAGTAAATAAGTTGCATTTACAAGCATCTCCAGATAGGTCCAGATAGGCATTGCAGACTTTCAAGCAGGGAACATTCCTAGACCTATCTGGAGATGCTTGTGATTTAACCTGGGACCTTTTGCATTCAAGGTTTGCGCTCTGACACTGACCTTCCAGCTTCTTATTTCCTGGAACCGCTAGTGGGTTAAGCAATCCCAGTCAAGGCCCAAATATTTCAGAAATAAATAAAAACTAGGCGGCACTCATGCAGGCGAGGGCTCTCTGGATAAAACTTCCCATGAAAAGCTGTGCAGCTAAAGGAATTTATCAATTTTAAATAGCGTTTGAATTACATACCGAGGCTTGAGGATTAATGATAGCCCTTTCCATTTTTTATCCAGACTTGGAAGCACTGCATGTGTTGTTCACGGAAGCATTAAAATCAATCACTGAGACTCAAGATTAGCATTTAATTGGGAGGCAACTTTGTCCTTGTTCCTAGCAGGAGGAGTACTGGAGAGAGAAGATAATTCTTAAAAAGAAAAGAAAAAAGGTTTCCAAAAATGAAGAAAAGGGGGTGGGGGTGGGATTCTGAAAGCTATTCAAACTTTCAGCTTCTAAAAAATAATAATGGGTTCATCTTTTACAGATACTGGGTGCCAGTAAGACCTAAGGCATGGGAGAGAAATTTGGTTTGATCCTGCCTTCTACCAACCTTTTCCAGTCCGGAACCCTCCAGATACTTTGAACTTCAACTCTTACCATCCTTGATCACTGGGCAAGGTGGACAGGGTTGATGGGAGTTGTAGTTCAAAGCATCTGGAGGGCCCCAGACTGGACAAGGCTGGTAGAAGGCAGGATCAAACCAAACAGGAATAGTCCTGTTCTGTTCTGCATTGGTCAAACCACAGCTAGATTACTGTGTCCAGTTCTGGGTGCCACAATTTAAGAAGGATGTTGACAAGCTGGAATGTGTGTTGAGGAGGGTGACCAAGATGAGAAAGGGTCTGGAAACCAAGCCTTATGAGGAACACTTGAAGGTGTTGGATATGTTTAGCTTGGAAAAGAGGAGACTGAGAGGAGATATGATTTGTTGTTGTTTAGTCGTTTAGTCATGTCCGACTCTTCGTGACCCCATGGACCAGAGCACGCCAGGCACTCCTGTCTTCCACTGCCTCCTGCAGTTTGGTCAAACTCATGCTGGTAGCTTCGAGAACACTGTCCAACCATCTCATCCTCTGTCGTCCCCTTCTCCTTGTGCCCTCCATCTTTCCCAACATCAGGGTCTTTTCCAGGGAGTCTTCTCTTCTCATGAGGTGGCCAAAGTATTGGAGTCTCAGCTTCAGGATCTGTCCTTCCAGTCAGCACTCAGGGCTGATTTCCTTCAGAATGGATAGGTTTGATCTTCTTGCAGTCCATGGGACTCTCAAGAGTCTCCTCTATATCATAATTCAAAAGGAGATATGATAGCCATCTTCAAATATCTCAAGGGCTGTCACATGGAGGATGAAGCAAGCTTGTTTCCTCCTGTTCCGGAGGGTAGGATCCAAACCAGTGGCTTCAAGAAAGGAGATTCCAACTAAACATCAGGAGGAACTTTCTGACACGAACAGACTCCTTCAGAAGATGGTGGTTTCTCCTTCATTGTAGGTTTTTAAGCAGCCACCTGTCAAGGATGCTTTAGTTGAGGTCCCTGCGTTTCAAGAAATTGAATTAGATGACCCTCAAGGTCCCTTCGAGCTCTACAATTTTATGATTATGTATTTTGATACGTTTGTCCCTTATTTTCTCTTGTGCAGAAAATCATGTCTGTTTACTGCCACAATTAGATAGGAACTTGATGTACGAGCAACAAGATACTCCAGGGTGTGAGTTAGAGGGCAATTATTCACTCAGAGAGCATTGTTAGAATAAGGCTGAAAGCCGAATGCTGCTTCATGTGTCAGGTATAAATTATCGGGCTGTAGCTCACTGCCTGCATGTTTTCACCAGGACTATAACAAAATAGCCCTATGCAAATTCCACAGAGAAAGCAAGAGCAGGACTGACCAGCCTCATGAGCCGGCACATACAATTAGTTCTTTTTTTAAAACAGTAGGGTAGCCATTTTCTGCTCCCGCCCCCTGGCTTTGCACCCATGAACATCAGCCAACACAAAAGAAATTTAGCAGTGAAAGCTTTTGCCATCACTTATATCTAGGCCAGGAAAAGGCTTTTAGAAAGAAGCAGGCTTTAAGGGCAGGTAGCATGCTAAGTTCAGTTTGGGGTGACATGTGTACTGCACATTCTGGTCATATTTTAATTTGTGTTGTTCAATTTTAATTTTGCAATTTTCAGTTATATACATTTCAATAGTTTCACAGTCATTTTAACATTTCAAAACTCGACTTACTTCCTCCTCTTTATGCGGTTCCTTAAATTTATATATATATATCATTTCCTGCATATTCTAAATTAACTTATTCTTTTATTCATCTACTTTAATTATTTATCCTTATGGAACTGCGAGTTATTGCAACAATCCTGCCAATGTCCTTATCTGTTTACAATTTATTTGTACATATTCAATAAACTATTTCCATTTTTTAATAAAAAGTTTGTTGCCTTGATTTCTTATTTTTCCGGTAAGTTTCACCATTTCTGCATATTCCATAAGTTTTTGTATCCATTCTTCCTTTGCTGGGACTTCTGCTTCTTTCCATTTTTGGACAAATAACATTCTTGCCGCTGTAGTCGCATACATGAATAAATTCATTGAATTCTTTTATTACTATTAGATTTTTATACTGGCCTTCATGCGAGGATCAGAAGGTGGTTTACAGTATAAGCACACAAAAGTGCTTAACATAATAACAAAAAAAAACAATAAGAATAGTGTTGTTTTGTTGTTTTTAAAAAATAGAGAATGAGAAATACAACCCATCTCTTAGTGAATTGTAATATAACCTTGTAGGAAAACTTTTTTTAAAAAAAACAACAACATTTTTCTGTGTGTTTTCTCCCTGGTTTGGGGAGAGGGAGTGAATCCCTGAAAACTTTCCACATTGCAAAATTTCTGTGCAGTGTGTGTATACACAGAGAGAGAGAGAGACAGACATCTCCAGCAACACAACAACCTAAGAGTCCTATATTAGTAAGAAGAGAGGTCTGCTCTCTCTTTTATTGCAATGAGAATTTGAAACCAGCGACAGATGAGAATTCTGCGGTGTTTTGGGAAACTGCAAGCAATATATTCTTTTTCCCATTAGACATCAGTCTTCAAGATCAACTTTTCAGCCATGCAGGAGGAGACAAGTGAACTGAACAGCTGCTAGGCTTCAGTGTAACCCAATGCTCTACAAGCAGCCAATTTTAGGTTTTCCTTTGGAGAGATTACAATTGCTATTTAGAAAACCACTGGAATTTAACAATAGGCACCATAAGGGAGGCAGAAGAATTGGGGGGCATCGTTCTAATGTAGGAACAATCTTTGGAGCTTATTTTTGGGTCCCAAACCCCCAAAGTGTCCCTATTTTCCAGGGACATCCCTGATTTAGAGAAGCCAGCCCAGTTTCTTATTCGATCCCTGAATGTCCCGCTTTTCCTTAGGATGTCCCTATTTTCATTGGAGAAATTTTGAAGGCTATGGAGTTATCCAGCCCCCGAGCCATCTGAAGGCAATCCTGTATAGGGAAGGTTTTTTTAAAAAAATGTTTAATGTTTAGTTATGTTTTTATATATGTTGGAAGCTGCCCAGAGTGGCTGGGGCAATCCAGTGAGATGCGTGGGGTATAAATCATAAAATTATCATTGTGGAATGGGACATCCCTATTTTCATCAGAGAAATGTTGGAGGGTATGGATTGATGTGGCCCCTGAGCCATCTGAAGGCAGCCCTGTATAGTGGTACCTTGGTTTTCAAACGTAATCTGTTCCGGAAGACTGTTCGACTTCCAAGATGTTCGAAAACCAAGGTACCCCTGTATAAGGAAGTTTTCCAGTGTTATGTTTAAATATGTTGGAAGCCACCCAGAGTGGCTGGGGCAACCCAGTAAGATGGACACGGTATAAATAGTAAAATTACTACTACTACTACTACTACTGCTACTACTATTGAATAAAAAGGTAAAGGGACCCCTGACCGTTAGGTCCAGTCACAAACGACTCTGGGGTTGCGGCGCTCATCTCGCTTTACTGGCCGAGGGAGCCGGCGTACAGCTTCTGGGTCATGTGGCCAGCATGACTAAGCCGCTTCTGGCGAACCAGAGCAGCGCACAGAAACGCCGTTTACCTTCCCGCTGGAGTGGTACCTATTTATCTACTTGCACTTTGACGTGCTTTTGAACTGCTAGGTTGGCAGGAGCAGGGACTGAGCAACGGCAGCTCACCCCGTCATGGGGATTCGAACCGCTGACCTTCTGATCTGCAATTCCTAGGCTCAGTGATTTAGACCACAGCGCTACCTGTGTCCTACTACTACTGAATAGGACTTCCCTATTTTCATCAGAGAAATGTTGGAAGGTGTGTAACTCCATAAAAGAGCAACCTTCTCTGCCCCATGCACAAGTGTGCACATATATACCTCAAGCTCAATAACTGAAGAAGAGCCAGCACCATGAAATGCAATCAGTCATAGTCTACCCATATTTAGGAAGTCTTACAGCAGGCCTACACAACCTGTGATCCATCAAGCTGACTGAACCACACCTGCCAAATGCAGTGTCACTTGCCAGGGGCTTCATTACCCCTCTGTTTTGGGAGTCCCAGGCAGGCCACACAAACAGGAGGTTATCAAGCTCCTGATGGGTTGCCATATGTAGTTGGCAGGTCACCAGCTGTGCTTGGCTACCTATAATATGATAATATCTAGTAGCAAAAAAACACACAAAACGCCCCCTGTTAAACTGTCCCATAAGGTAAGCAGATTAATGTCAAAAAGCGAGGGATGTGAAATGAATTGACATCAGTGGCGGAAGAAGCAAAGTCAGTGTGGTGCAAAAGCACCAGCGGAACCAATTCCGTGCTCTTGCCAGTGCATTTGCACTGCAACAACCATGCTGTTGCCTTGCCCCTCCTCATCCTATTATGCAGCAGGGAGGTCAGGTGAATGCCGCCCCCAGTTCCCCTGCTGTATCTTGTTCTGTGAGAGAGTTGTTCTGCTTGCACAACGTGGCTTTTCCTTTATCTCTTCTCCCTGTGCATCCCCAAAATCTAATCCAGAGTGCCTAGGGAGTTGAAGGGGAGAGGAGAAAGAAGTTCTCTTCCGCAAGGGCAAGTCTGCAGGATGACTGGAATAGCACCGCTCAGGGGTGGAGGAAGGGGGCCAGGGGGGTGGTCTGCCCCGGGTGTCATCACTGAGGGGCTGACATTTGGCATGCCGTCCATCCGCAACTCCCAAGCCTACCCTGAGCCGTCAGGGGAAGGGGCGGAGCTGTGAAGCTTACCAGCGGCCTTCCCCCCTTCCCCCTTTGTTTTGACAGCTCAGGGGAGGCTTGGGAGTCACAGGGGGGTGGCGCGCCGTTGCCCCCCACTCCCAGGCTGCTTCCTGGGAGGGAGCCTCCCCCAAGCTGTTAAAAGGAGGACGGAAGGGAGGAAGGCTGCTGGCAAAGTGGCGCAGCTCCCTCCCCCCCCCCAGGAAGCAGTCCACCATGGGCAGCTCGCTCCACCCCTCCTGGGCAGCTCGCCCCCGGGATGTTCACTGTGGGCGCCACCACCCTGGGACGCTCGCCCCGCCCCCCTGGCCCTGCCCCTGGGTGCCAGAGCAGTTAGCTCTGCCTCTGATTGACATATCTCATCAGGAGTAGGGGGAGATTGTCCTGGGAAGACTTGCCAATCTATACCTGTTGAATTTCTTCCCGACATGTCCTTACCTATCAT